AAGTTACCCCCAGAATATTCAAATGTATCCAATCTCTTGTCCTTGGTTGCTTTATTTCTTAAATCTGTGGTCTGTTTATAGAGATTATGTATGCTCTTTCGTTTTGGTGGTGGATGGTAAAACAAAAGGCCATGAAGAACGGTTTCTGGTCATGCCTGTTGGCTTGATCAAGTGGTATTGGATACCCCCATCCACAGCCCCCTGTGCTATTTTCTTAACCTTCAAAGTTTCTGAATTTAGACATGGAACTCTGAGTGTGCCGTATACTGCAGGATGTGCCTTGCTTAACTTTCCCTCCCCCACGCAAAACTGATTAGAATGAAATATGGTGTTTCACATGTGGTCTTAAAGCAAATGAGTCCATTCAATTGAGCTAGACAGATTTTTTTCTAAAACATCCAATACTTTTATTTATACTTCCTCGACTGGGGAGAAAACTAAGAAAACAAAAAAAAAAAAAAAAACCCCAAAAACAGCAGATTCAGCAGATCTTATCTCACTATTTTCTCCCTTCTGTTTTTCATTTGCACTTCTATTTTCATGCAATATTTCATTTTTTTCATGCATCTATCACTGTTTGCTTCTGTCAGAAGTTCAAAAGCAGCCTGCTTTCATAAAGAAGAAACAGTATTGATTGATCTGTAATATTGTTTCTACCTTTCTTGACCAATCCTCAATGCATATTTCCAGTTTTGAAAAGCATTTCATGAATTGCTGGGCAGTTGGAAAAATCTATAGTGTAAGCTCATTACTTTGCTGGCTGCTGAATGTTTTGTACCAGTTGTGTTTGCAATGCAAAAAATGCAGACCTTTCTCTCAGGAAAAAGAGGTTAAAATTTCATGTATACATAAATAATAAAACAACACATGGAGGTGGTATCAGTGTGATATATTTCATTTCCTATATACCTTTGGCCTCCCCTCTGTCCATTAATTCACACAAACTTTCATCATCTTCCAACCTCCTTAGTAGCATCTTTGGTTTCATTTTTCTCTTCAAAAAATGCTTACTTCTCCCCGTGAAGAGTGGCATTCCCAGCCATCCTCCCAAATATCACTGGCTAGAGGTCCAGGACAAGCAATATTCTTTTCTATGCTAGTGACTGTGGTTTAAGCTAATACCTCATTGTCGTGGTTTAAGCCCAGGCTGTAAATCAGAACCACGCAGTCTACTCCTCCCCCTGCCCTTTTTCCCCCACACTCCCAGAGGGATGGGAAGGAGAAGCGAAAAGAATGTAACTCCCACTGGTTGAGATAAGAACAGTCCAGTAACTAAGGTGTAACACAAACCACTACTGCTACCACTAATAATAATAATGATAAAGGAAATAACAAGGGAAGAGAATACAACACCTCACCACCTGCAGACCTATACCTCACCCCATCCAGCAGTGACCTAGCCCTTTTGGGTAACTGCTCCCAGTTTATATACTGGGCATGACGTGCTGTGGTATGGAATACCTCTTTGGCTAGTTTGGGTCAGGTGTCCTGTCTCTGCTTCCTCCTGGCTTCCCCTCCTCCCTGGCAGAACATGAGCCTCACAAAGTCCTTGGTCAGGGTAAACATCACTTAGCAACAACTGAAAACATTGGTGTTATCAGCACTGTTCCCAGGCTGAAAGTCAAAACACAGCACTGCACCAGCTACCAAGATGGAGAAAAATGGCTGCTACTGCTGAACCCAGGACACTCATGAGGCTGCAGAACTAGAACTGGGAACTTTCTACTTGCTTGTGAGCTCCTTGCACCAGCAAAAAGAGTTAAAAGATGTATAGGAGTTAATTTTGGTGGGCCCAGGATTTTACTCTTGAGGAGACAGATCCAAGGCTTCACAGACCACAGAGAACAATGGAAATGATAAAACAATGCAACTTTAACAGGAATCACTTTTAGACTAATTTTATAGTTTGAACAAATATTTTCTTATGCTTAGCCACTTACAGAATCTTGGTAAGTCAGACTTTTCATTTCAAAGGCATAAGGATACCAAAGTGGTCCTGATACAGTTAAACTCCCCCCTCCCTCCATTCTATTTAAGCACTTCTATCACCAATATTTTTTCTGAAAAACATCTTCATACACATAGCGTGATGGGAATGTATTTAAGTGCTTTCAGCACTCCTGCAGACTAAGAGGCAGAACTCACCTAGAGTTTAACTACTTATATCACACAGATCCCTTTTTTTCCTCACTCTTTGTGAAGCTTAGTAGATAAACAAAACCTTCATTTTCTTACCCTTTTTAAAACTGGGCACAGATCTAAAACAGAGCTCTAAAACATCCTCTTTTTTTTTTGCAGCAAAGGAGTCACACTGCCATCAATGAGTCACAAAATAATAAAACATTTAAGACTGTCTGGGCTTTCATTCTGAGGAGGTGACAGGGCTGAAGAGTAGCTCCAGCTTCCAGTTTGTAGGCATTCTGTGTACTGACTGCAACCACAACCACCCTGCCTCTGGTTAGCAAGGGAAGGAGAGAGGGCCAGCAAGGTCCAGAGCAGGGTTTGCTGGACTCACACAGGTAGTATCCAGTGCTCTCAGGAAAAACGTCCTGGCAAATATCATCTGGGTCATCAGCAGAAATACCAGCCATTGACTTCACCTTAACTTCCATTGTACAACTTGGCTACCACCAGTTGCTGAGATGGACTGGCAGAGACGAAGAGTAAGAGTCTCTTCCACTTGAGTACTCATTCCCTTCATTATATCAAGGTGTAGATTATGCTGTGTTGTCTCTAGATCAGCCTCATGAAAATCAGCCATAGTTTGAAAGGGTGTTTTATATCTATACAATGAAATCTCTGAAAGACAACCTGGGTTAAAATGCATTATAAAAAGATAGTAGTTCCATTCATCCAGACAGCTCAGGGTCAGTTGGTGTTTGAGCAATTTTATTTAGGAATCAGTGAAAGAGCTCTGTTGCTCCAAGTCTGTTGTCAGTTTTAAGAAGTCTGTCTCTGTCTGCATCACTACTTCTTACATGGTTTTCTTACTCTACTCATGGATTTTTATTTTAGTCATTTGCATCTTAGGTCCTCCAGAAGTTGCCACAAGCACATTTTTATATCATTAGACTGTTTTGTCAGCCTGTAGCTGCCAGAAAGCTGGAAACGAGAGGGGTAGATTGGAAAAGGGGACAACCCGCTCCTACCCATGCAGATGAAATGTTATCCTCAGACTTTGTTGAAAAATCTATCCTGGACTAGAGAAAGCAGCTGTTTATGTTTTAATCTGTCTATACCCCTAGCTCTAAAGAGGAATAGAAATGCACAGGCAGTGCAATATCCCTTGCATATTGAAAATAAGTTGGTTGAAGCAAGAAGTCAGATGGACTTTAAGATGTTCTCTGTATTGACTCTTTTCCAAGTTGATTCAACCCTTATGAGTTCAACCTATCGTCTTCTCCTTTTTGCAAGTCTAACTGTTAGGTATACAGGTGTGTATCTACATGTATGTAGACTCCAACAGTGTTAAAAGACAAACCTCCAGATAGCTAGAACTACTAGTTCATGGGAATTTAAAATTAAATTAAATAGCTGGGCTGTTTTCCAGATGATTTCTAAAGTTCCCATACTTACGCATAAAAATCTCTGTAGGATTTACATTACACTACTGTATTTGTTTCAGTGAGCATTTGACTGCCAAGAATACTGTCTATGACCATCATGGCAATCTAATTAAATATTTGACGAGCAGAAAGCTGGACATTATTCAAGTCAAGCATTAAATTAGAAAATTTAGTTTCTCTCCTTTATCAGTAGATTTTTAAATCAGCCTATTCTACCAAAACCCACAAGTTTAATGAATTTGGTCTCACATACTGTGTAACAGCTGTCTAACATACAGCCACTAGCATAAATCATAAAAATGATGCTTCACTTTGGCATGGCAAAATACATTAGAAAGGCTTAGAAAGGTCAGTCACCAGCAACCTCTTTGCTGGTCTTTGAGAAACAGCACTATAAAATGCAGGAGTTGCCATTTGTAGTCTCTTGCAGGAAGCCTTGGAGAGCCACAGATAATTTGCTTTCAATGATTCATCAAGTTGGCCCTTTGTTTCACTAATTTGAGTGTCAAATGCAATCTCCTAATAAAGAATTACCAAGACCTGATAAGATTCTTCTTATATTGCTTCGTTTGTCTTAACAACTGGTACTATTGAAACCAAACCCACAAACTGAATAAATAGCAAGCCTGTGTGCAGTATGGCATTCTTCTCTGGAATGATGAAGCGTGTTCACTGTGCTGTCCCCTGATGTTCTTGTTTCTTTTTCGTTTCTTAAAAGGCACTGAATGCTGCATACTGTGCCTGTGCTAGGGATGACATTTGTTTCACTGTTAGTCCTCCAGTGAATTAGTAAAAATAAAAAATGGATGTCAATGGCAATTCCAGCCTTGAGAAAGCTGCTATTGTGACCATGGTTGAGTTAGCCTCCTGATCGTTTTCTCCTTAATGTAATCTTTAATGTTATATAGTTATAGGTTAAATGAGACGCCATCTATTAGAACCATTATTTCCATCAGTAGTTTCAAGAAAAATATCTTCATGATTAGGAGATAGATGATTTTTCTTTTTAATGCTATGCTGTCAGTTTAATAACTCCGTAAGAAATCAACATTAAAATGGCTTGTTTTGAAGGGGCACATGTATAAATGTGGAATTCCCAAAGCAAGAAATCTGTGTAATTTGAGACCTGCTGATAAAGTTTTCAGAACCGAACTGTACACCATTAATACAAAGAAAGAAATAATAAAAAACTTTGGGAGGCTGCTTAGGGGTGGGAAAATGTCCGTCCTCAGAAACCAGAAAGACGTCATGGGGAGCAAGCCTGTGAGATTTACTGTTAAAAAACGAAGAGGTGTTCTGCCAAAAGGTTTTGAAACCGGTTTTTATGGCTTGGGGCAGGTTGTGTGACAGAGGGCGGTGTCAGCGCTGCACAAGGAGTTGAAGGCGTCGATTTTTTTTATTTTTTTTTTTTTATTTTTTTTTTTACTAACGTGAATTTATAAAGAGTTGCTTGAACGCCGCCAGCCTCGGGAGACCCAGTTGGCGGCGAGAGAGCGACGAATTCTCTGGCAGGGAAAAATACAAAGAACATCATGTGAGGGTCGTGCCCCGGTGCTACCAGCAGGACAGAAGCCTGGGCCGAGGGAGGGAGCCCCTGCCCCGACCCTGCCCGCTCGCCCGGCGCCCACCGCGGGCCGGAGGGACGGTGCCGCGCGGTACCTGCCGCGGCCATTCCCGCTGCTCGCCAACCCCCATCCCCGCCCGGGGCTCGCCGGCGGAGCGGGAGGCAGAAGTTAACTTCCACCGGCCCTGGAGCCGCCGCTGCGCCGGCAGGAGGAGGCGGAGGAGGGGGCGGAGGCAGGCGGGGCAGCCGAGGACCCGGCTCTGGCAGGCTCCGAGGGTCCGGCCGGGTGTAATTCCCCTGTAATCCCCACCACGGCGGCGCTTCCCTGGCCGAGCCATGTCTGCGGCTTCCCCGCCATGCCGAGCCTAGCGGGGAGCGGGAGGGCTGGGGAGCGGGAGGCGCACAAAATGAAGACCCTGATGGTAAGTGCATTGTTGGCACTGCTCATCCCGGCTCCGGCAGCGGGGAGGAGCGGCGCGGCGCGGGGCTGCCCCGGGCCCCCTGCACACGCTCCAGCCTCCTCTGGGCTGCAGCCCCGCGGCGCTCCGGGATCGCGCAAAGCACAGAACCACAGCGGCGGCAGCGGCGGCGGCGAAGAACTTTCCGCTTGCTTTCTTTTATTCGTGTTGCTCGCTGTTTGGGGGTTTTGTGTGTGTGTGCGCGTTTTAAGGAGCGGATAGAAAACCGATATGCTTAAAGGACGAGGTTGGAGGTAGCCGCGCGGGGTGTGTGGGGGGAAAACGCTATAATCCCCAACAGTCGTTAGAATGCGGGAATGAGATGCCCGACGGGAGACGGCTGCATGGGAATGAGAGGCGCGGGGGAGCTGGGCACACGAAGGGGCGAAGAAGCGAGGAAGCAGGGGTGGGGAGGGGGCAGGAGGAGGAACGAGGAGATTCCCCAGTTCTCTCCTCGCACTTTGCCGGATCTCCGGTGGCATGAAACTTGCGGGCGGCGGTGCGCGGGGTTGGGTCCGCGGCAGGGGACCCCGCTGAGCTGCCTCTCTCTGCCCCCCGCAGCGCCACGGGCTGGCCGTCTGCTTGGCGCTTACCACCATGTGCACCAGCTTGTTGCTCATGTACGGCGGTATCGGCGGCGGCGGGGGTCGCCCGGAGCCGCGGCGGAGGCAGCAGCAGGTGGCGGCGGTGCCCAGTCGCCCGCCGGGACGCGGCCAGCACCATCCGGCGCTCCCCGTCGGGGCCGGCCTCCTCGAGGGCTACATCAGCGTCCTGGAGCATAAGGTGAGCCTCGGTCGTGGGGCTGCCCTTTCCTTCCAAGGGGGAACCTGCCCCATACCTGCAGAGCTCTCTTCCGTGCCCGCCGGCTATCCTCCCAGGGATCGCGTTGGCCTGGCTATCTTGCTGTCAGGGCTGGCTCCTACACGTGCCGTTGCCCCTGGCCCTGTGCGCATGGATTAACCGGGTCAGGACCCGGTGTCCAGCCTGCTGTTAGGCCTGTGTGCAGTGTTGGTCATCTCCTCCCTTGACCTGTAGAAGATGGAGGGTGAAGTGTTTTGTTTCTAGTGATGAATGCTAGAGGTACGCTACAAATGTATGTTTATGATGATGCTGAGAAGGGTTAAAGAAGGAAGTTTAGTTGCTGGAAGGAAAAGTCAGTAGGTAAGTGTTTATTCTTAGCTCATTTTGTCTTGGGAAACCAAGAGAACTGTATCTCCTGCACAAACGACCTTTTCATCCTCCCCCTGGGAAGCAGAAGTTGTCAGCCATAGTCTCTGTTCTAGAAATTGGGGGCATCTCTTTAATGGTGAACAGAATGATGTCCCTCCCCTTGACACAGGAATTCGGAGGCTGGATTATCAGACCCTAATACCCGTTTACCAGAGATAGACAGCCTAAGCTTTGATATCTCACAGGACAGACGTAATGAGATAAAGTGAACAAGGTGGCACATCCATGCTGAAGATATACTTCAGTTTCAGTAATTTTCTCAGAAGGCAGATTGCTCTAGTTCTTGTGCTGTGTTCAGTTTGCTGCGCTTACCTGGAAACTCCAAGGACCCCCTCTGCCAAAATCCCAGATAATATTTAGTACACACACTTCTTGCAGTAAAAATCTACTGTAAAAAATAAGCACAGAAAATGAGGATTCTCAACTTTATGTTTTCACATCCAGACTGACATCTTTCTGAAAAATATGTTTGTCAAACAAGTTACTGGGCTCAGTTTAGAGGCACTGTGTGAAGACTAGTGACTTTGATATACAGAGATTTTTATTGTTCCTTCTGGCTTCACTTTCTATGCAAGAGTTATCTGTAGGGCTCTTAACACAGAAAAATAGCTCATGATGGTCCCTTGTAGGCTTTATTTGTTTTCTTACATGATTCTTCTGGAAATCCTCAAGCGTCATGTCTGTGTAGAAAAAGCAAGTTTGGCCATGGGGCTTCCTACTGTGTTGAAGTGTTCTCTCATCATTCTTCTGTTCTTCTTGAACATGACTGTAGTGATGAGGTGTAGATATATATATGCACTTTTTCTTTTATAATTTTTTTTGTAAGTAGTAATAATTGAAAAGGCATCTATGGGAGTTTTTTAGGTTGTTTATGTGAATAGCCCCTCTGATACCATAACTCCTTATGTTGGTTTCTTCTGAGTCCTGAACACCCCTCATTAATAGAACATATTTAAAATCATTATTCTGTGTTTTTTATTTTCCAGAGTAATTTTAGTGTTTCCCTGTGTTTTGGAGAAAGATAATACTCTTTTTTAATATATTATAATATGGCCCAAACCTCACAGATACTCCATTTCTGAATTTCATTTGATGTAGCTCATACCTCACAGTAATACTCTGCTGAAGGTTTAATAACTTTTCCACATAACTTCTGTGGGTCAGAAAGAAGATTGTGCAGTCCCTGCTGTGTTCCCAGCGTGCTTTTTATTTTAATGCACATGAGATCATGCAGAGAGCTGTGTCACTGTGGTCTACAGGGGAGTGAGGACACTGTATTACCATAAGGAGATGGAGAGAAGAGCTTTGACTTTTAATAGTGTATGTGTTTTAGTAATTTAACAGACCTGTATATTTAACATGGATTTATAATCCCGGAGTACATAGGTTTCCTGCAGAAATGAAAGTGGAGAATGCAAAATAATCACAGACATTAAGGGCTTGGAAAAGAAGGATACAGGATCGGTGATGATGAGAAGAGGGAGAGAGATTGCAAGAACTGAGAAATGGTGAAATATTTTCAGAGAACATGTTTTATTTTTTGGGGTGGAACAATGGAGAATACAGAGAAGACAGCTTGAATAGCATACAGCATTAAAGTCCATCCCAAAGTGGGAGAAAATGAAGGAACTGGGGAGGTTTTAACGACTATTAGGAGAGTGGCAAGAAGAGAGCAAGATAAAATTCTGTAGCTGTGAGAAGGGAGTGATACTTGAAGGAACGGAGGCCTGGAGGAAGTTGAAGAGTACCTGTTGTATGAGGATAATGGGCTGGGAAGGGTAAGGGACGAATGACTTCAGCAATGGTACATGTTCTTCTGATGGCACAGAGGTGTCAGAGTGAAATGACAGCGGATGGTAGATTTTCACAATATAGCTTCCTTAATTTCCCACATAGAATCTTGGGATTATCTGTCAGGTTGAATGACCTGAAGCTGAATGACCATTATACTAAATTCATCCTTGGAATGTGTTCATGCATGAATGACAGTTATGGGAGGTTAATGCCTAGATCATTCAGATCTAGGAGCTGAAACAGGTTCTTGACTTCAGGAAGACTTTGTTCCTGGATCCCATAGTTAGCTTTAATGGGGAGATGTGTCATGTTTTTGGTGGTGTACCCATTCTGATGTATTTAATATGAGTAAGCATGCACATATATGTAAAAGCTATTTGATAAGTACTGATGTTATTATAAATCCATAATTAAAATATGAGTATTGACACACACAGGAACTGTCATAAGGTAGTATAAATATTTCAGGGATAGAATTTGACAGTTGTCTACATTGTGAGATACTATATATTACAAATGTCTGTCACTGTGAACAGTACAGCTCGTTTAGCAGTGCTGGGTGATCATATATGGAGACTGTTTGCCAGAAAATCAAGGCGCTTAGTAAAGTACCAATGATTTTGAAATAGATCTTGCAGTATTGTAATTACCAATAATTTTCCTCCTTTTATTTTATATTCAATAAGAATTGTAGTTTCTCAATCATCCTGTCAAGATAAGCAGGCAGTTTCTGAAAAATACAGCCAAAATACATAATATTCTTTTTACTGTGTTGAATAGTCTTTTTGCTGTAGTCTTTTGTCATTTGGTCAGATTTGTGCTGTTTTGTTTCTTAGTGCTTTGCCTTCGTGGTTTCTGCAAGCCCTGTTTTTCCCAAGTCAAGCAGCAGAGATCAGAACCCATGTTCTCAGCTTTAGCAGCCTTGTGCAGTTTAGCAGCGCAAACTTTGTTCTTGTTGAGCTGAACTCTTAAACCAAGAAAATTCAGAAATGCAGTCAATTCAGACATTGATTCTTGGCATTTTGCCTCTGCATGTCCCAGAGCAACAGCAGTCGTTGGTGGTGGACGTTTGAAATGAATGAATAACATCTCTTTTTGTTCCCAATAGCCAGATGTTTATATTCTAAAAGCTCCCACATCTGGAACAGAAAACATGGTTTGCTGATGGTTACTATTGAAAGGTCAAGGACTGAAATGGAGAAGTAGCAGCTACCCTTCTACTTTGAGGAGCTGTTGCTTCTCACAGCCACGTACTGGCAGAGTGTAGCACTGCTTAGTTATTGCAGCTGTTCAGCAGTTAGAAAGGACAGGAGTCCCAGGCTGTCAAACTAACATCTTTCGTGAGTTCTTTGACTGTAATCCTGAAATTAAAGAGGTTTTCTCACTGGCATCGAGGGAGGCAGAATTACGCTCTTCTGTGCAGAGGCATGGGGATAAGACTTTCTGTTGATTTATCATAGTGCTAGCAAGAAATTACAATGCTAATATTTTTAAAGCAATTACTGCATACAAATAAGAGAGTGTTAATGAAAGCAGGAAACCTAACACTCTTCCAGAACTTGCAAGAAATAAAATATTTAACTATTATATTACTATTCTGAAATGAATGTGAGAACATGTCTCTGGATAGTTAGAAAGCTTTCTACCCAGTATTGACTCAACAGTTGGTACTGCGAGTAAAATATGAATTTGTCACATATGTAATTGAATAATATTTCAAGCCATCAAGGATTTTGTTTCTTAGAAAAGAAAAAACCCATATCAAAATCAATCTTGCAGACAAAATCTATGATTTATTAGAACCACATTTAAATACCTTGAGAGCATTGAGATCAATGTGATAATTTACGTGATCGCAATGATTTCTTTATGCTAATGTAAATCATCATATGCAAAGAAATCTTTGTGATCCCTTTAAATTAATGTAGATCAGAGAACAGTGTAGTTAATGAAGTGTTTGAGGAAGACTCATTCTGCAAATAGTGCTATAGCTCCTTAAGCTCTGAGACACAGTAAGTTGTTCTGGCATGAAACTTTTTTTTCCCAGGGTATTAAACTTTGTGCACTTAAAATAGCAGGTTGGATCTCACAGTATTTTATATACTTTTTAATAAGTATTAGATATAAAGAGTTAGGAATTGGAATTTTTTACCTAAATAGTTCAAGCATTTACTGTTTTGGGCTTGGGCAGGTGGAGGGTGTCCCTAAACCAACCTTCATAATGAACATATGTGGAGATGGGAAAGAATTAAATTACTTTGAGGGTTGTAGTGTCTTTCAAATGAATTTATCACAAAATCATAAGGGATCTTATAAAAAACCAACTTGTCTTGCCTGAGGTGGGATCAAGCCTGTTGAGTTGTAAACCATGTACCATGATTTCATTGCATGTTTCTACTTGCCTCTGAAATTGTTACCTCTTATATTATGCAATTATTTGATGGAGCTTTTATTATGTGAGAGATCCGCCAGGGGGAGACTTTATTCTAGAATAACCTTGCTGGGGACACCTCTGTCTGCCCAAGATCCAGGCGCTGGGGGAGTCCTGGAGGCCCCTGGTTCACCCTTTGGTTGGCTTCCTGGCTTTTTTAAGATCTATTTTATTATTGTTTTGAGGTACTGTAGTTACCTTTTATGCTGATAAGCTGCAGGTTTATTAAACCCCTTCATAATGCTGTCAGCTTAAGAAAAGATTTAAAACCGTGAGAGTCAGAGAATGTAACTGAATATCCACAGACAGGGTAGGGACGGTTGTTTTA